ACGCTGTTAGCGAGTAGTTTGGGTCGAAATCACCACACATGCGTCCTTGAAACGTGCTGCACTTGGAGACACTACAGCTCTTCCGTGTCCATCTCCCCTCCAATTAGGGTTGTAGATACTTCTTTCGCAGTGGTATCGTGGGCGTGGACGGCGTCGCCATCCCATGTATGATCGACGGTTCAAGCCACTGCTGAGCTTGAAAAGTCCTTGGCGAAATATTACTACCAAACTTTTTTGGGGATAAAGACATAGTTGAATATGCAAGCCACAGCATAGACCGCTTTCAAATGACTCTACGGTTGCCAATGGTAGCCCTCTGCATGGCGCATTCATGCGACGTTCAAAGCGCTCACTCGCCAACATTCTCCTATCACTTCATTCTCACGGCACTGGAAATACTCAAACCATCCTGTCTGTCTTTCCCAGTTCCAATCACTTGTGTGAACTCGCTTAAGAGTGAATGCATGGCGTATCCCAAATGAGTCAAGGGTGAACTTAACAGAAACCCAGCAGAAGTAGCGAACCAAATCAAGACATCAACATAAAGAGAATCAGCCCTTGGCCCTGATTGAAATAAATTAAAGAACACATTTTTAAAAACAAAAATCAATCATGTTCAATCTGTTATCAGAAATCAATTCATATCATATCACAGATTTTATTCTACCGTATTTCAATCAATAAATTTCTCCTGAGCAAAAATACACGTTGGCTGATACTCTCTAGATGATTTTGAATGCATGGGTCAGAATGATTGACTTGATTTTGGACCACCTAAAAAACGATGGATAAAAATGAGCAGGGAAAAATCAGTGGAAAATGAAAACTGAACAAAAAATAATAATTGACCTGGCTAGAACTTGCGGACTTATAGGGCTGACCGACGGCGATGGTGAGGGATCTGTTGGAGAACTGAAGGCAAATTTCAATTTTATCAGAGGAATACGGTCAGAAAACGATTAGGCGTAGGATTAGGTGTGTTAAGTGTGACTTCACGAAATGTGTCATGAAATGTTATTTGAGGCGGTGATTACGGCTGACAGATAACAATGAGTGATAGACTTGTGAGATTCGGGAATATTTCAAGAATAGCAGCAGAAGTAGCATCCACGTATAAACTTGGGATACGCCATGCATTTGTGTTCATAAAAAGATCGCGGAAGTGATTCATGCTCACCGGTAAATGCACTTATTTCTGAATATCTCCATTCCTTTTCAACCTTTCTCCCACCCCGTTTTCCTCTCTCCTTATTTTTCTTTCACTCTCAAAATTCTCATTCTCAAATAGCGCTTTCTCATTTCACAAAATCCCAGAAACAACTAGAAAACCTTGGAGAAAAAACGGCTCCGATAAGGCGTGGATGATTAAGAGGCTGAGCCCCTGTGCAGTGTAGGAGAAGCGAGCCTTTCCGATATTTCCGCGCATGTAGAAGGACGACAGACGACAGTGCTAGAAGAACTACATAACGAAAATTACCTCAGAAGATCGTCCCGTTCGCGTTCCTTTCGTCCTGGTCGGAGATTCTCCAGCTCTTCTTCAAGTTCCATTACTCGTCCTTTGAGCACGTTCTTCTCCTGTAGCACTTTCACGTAATTCAGCCAACGTAAATCGGGGCTCGTCATCGACCTGAAATCAGCCATAGAACCAGTTTGGCAAAGCGACTGAACCCACCATTGGAAAAATGTGCTATATCGATGAGATCCACAAACTATTGGGCGCTATCGCAAGATGGGGGCGCGTATTGCGGCGGCAACGCATTTAGAACCGCGACATACATTTTTCTGTTATAACTGGCACTAAGCTTGGGGAGAAGGACGAGACAGATCCGAAGTGAGCTCAGCATTTCCGCGGATCCCCCCCCCAGAGTCAACCCTGCGTTGCGCAGTTCGCAACGGCACGTTGAGAGATCCTCAACGCACGCTGTATGGGCGGAGACACAGACGGCTCGAGCATGCGAGTGTGAATGTTCGCGCGAGAGAACGTGTCTAATCGGGCGAAACTGCGCAACGTGGCCGTTGAGAACTGCGCAACGCAGGGTTGACTCTGCCCCCCTCTCCCTTGCCTACATAGTTTCACCATCCGTCTCGCTGCGATAGTGCAATCACAGTCTATGGTCCACAGCAATTATGGACTCATTTCGTGTAAGTATCGCAAATTACATACTTGCTGCTTGCTGTAGTGTTTACAGACCGCGATCCGTATGCTAAGTAAGCGTCGTAATTAGAATGTTCCTTCTTCAGTTTTTGCACCTGACTCGGTCAAGCCTTCGTGCGTTCGATCCGGTGCTAGTTGGGTGAAAATGTCGTACCCTCGTGTTTAAGAACGCTAAGAATCGCGTCTATGGCAGAATTAAACACCTACGGAAGAGACGACGACACACGACGATCTGAAGTTTCATTCCAACTGAATGACTGCCTCTGCTGCATTCCTAATTCTAGCTGTCATGATTATATGTCCACTCTTTACCAACATCTAATCACTCGTTATCGAAATAACTTTGGGCTCGCACTTTGTGTTGTGTGTTCTGCAGCCTCGACCGCTTATACTGTTTTCCAAAACAGACGGTGTTTCCATTTCCTTCGACGTAGCAAATTTGTTCGAATTTCAACATACCGTCGAATAATTTCCATTTTCTCTTCGACGATCATCCGTCCTTGTTTTTGTAATGACGAATTCTTTCGCAACAATTCTTCGTTCTGCCGGATAAGTTTCTCGATTGAGTTTTGGAGCTGAAATACAGAAATAAATAAAACTGAACGTGAACAATTGCTCCTGACATTGCTCAACTTCCTGTTAGGGTTACTGGCTCTCAGTACAACCCGGGGAGAACGTTTTTCCACTGCTGACACATTAATCTGGGTCAACATTTTACAAATGCACACCGTGGTTTTGCTTGCTCAGCGAGGTATTCTTCCACAAGAATACTAGGGAAGGAACCAAACAAAACGAGGTCTTCTGTGTTTGATTTCAAAACCCTCTTTAAAACTTCCAGTCAAGCACTGCCCACCAAGGAAACTCAAAAAAACCTAAATAGAAAACCAGGGAACGACCGTTTTACGCCCACACCACCACATAAATAGTAGTATACAAGCATCCTAATACGGCTGCCATCTACAGAATTGGTTTGAAATTTTTAGAGTCAAATTTCGACTTCCGCCCAACATTCAACTTAGCTCGATCCGGGGAGGATTTTCTAAGACACCCTCAGTTTGACCCCAGTCTCTTACTCCTACAGCCTACCTATCACATTAACGAAAATGCCATCGACTGGAATAAAGAATGCAGGAAAAAGTAAAAGTACATGAAATAAACCTAAGTCCAAACCAAATTTCCAAAAATTCAGCGCCAATCCATTCGAAGAAAATTCAGCCCCAATCCGCCCGCTGTAATTAAGGACAAAGACGATCCCTCCGACCCTCTCCCCCCCCCCCTCTGTCCAGTTCATTTTTGCTAAACGAATGCTTGACCCTGGTCCAACAATGAGACCTTTGGGAGACCCTAGAAATAATAAGTCCTCGCCATGGCCTCATGTCGCTCAAGGTGCGCGAACTACCAACCGAGGTTTTTGTTTGGACCAATTCGTTTACCACTACATCCGAGACAACTACCGTTAGGAACACAAAGAAAACCACGAAAAAAAAAATCAAAAAA